CGTCGTGTTACAGATATAACACTTTTTTCACCTTCAGGCCACATTGCAGATAATATTGGATTTTTACTATGATATAATAAACGTTTGAAATCATCAAATAATGTATCACGATTTTTATCTAAGAACCCATCAACTGAATAAACAACATCACCTATAAACAAAATCATATTTTAACAATTTAGTTTTATTTCTTTATTCATAAATATATACCTGCATAATGACGTATAAGAAAAAGTTTCTTAGTATCAATATTTTTCCATATTTTATCACTTGGTGCAAGCTAAATAGTCGAATTCTATGAATTATATTCAATTAATAATAAAACTTACCGCCCAGCTCGAGTAATGTTTATGATTTTTAAATGCTTTATTTATTGAATCAAGAAACATTTCATCTGTAATTGTTCCTACGATTTGACATGCCTCATCAAGATATGATAGAATACTAATACGAGGTTGTTCAATCAGATCACAAATGATTTTATTATCAAAGTAATCAACCTTAAAATTAAAAAAAAAACGTTTCAAATAAATAATTAATAGAAAATTTACATGTTGCCAAGTTATATTTTCTTTTTCGTATTCATCTTGTTCTTGTTTGAGCACAAGTTCAATAAACAATTGTTGTAATTTTTCATTACAATAGTTTATACATAATTGTTCAAAACTATAATAAAAATATTAAATACAATGTAAAAATATCTAACGATAATAATACCTATTATTCTCAAATATTTCAAAACCATATATATCAAGCACACCAATAACAAGTGAACTATGGATTCGTCGATATGGATTATTATTTTGTTCGTCATTTACTTTTGATAAAGTTTTATTGATATACTTAATAAGCCATTCAAAAAGACGTTCATATAAAGCCTAAAATATTAAAAAAGAAAAGGATAATCTTTGAAAATTAAATATTAGTACAATTTATAGAGAGAGAATAATATGTGTTAGTTAATATAATGTGATATAAAAAAAATTGTATTGATGAATAGTGTAGTTTTAGTATGAAAAGAATTATTCAATAAATCAAAGTTTATAGATCTATTAGAGTATTTTTAGGATGTTGATTGTATTTCGGAAATATGATGAATGAATTATTTACAGACGTTTTTGTGATAACTAATTGAGGATTAAAGTGTATTCTTCAGAGTTCGAGATTTCTTTTTAGTATAATTAGAGTTGCATTAATACATCATTTATAGATAAATCTTGAGAGTGAATGTGGGTATCCTCAGGGGGAAGGCAATAAAGTTAGGGTGATGGCGATACCCTAGAAAGATCTGGAATAGTTAAATTCAAGTTTCTCTCTCTCTCCATATGCAATTATAAACTTTTTATTTTTACTAAAAGCATAGGATGTTCCAAAAGTCATGATCATTTAACAATTTCATTTTTCTCTCTATTAACAAAGTGATATTAATTTTTATTTTATGGTAGAGAATAGGAAGTCTTTTTTCGCACGAGTCCTGTTTATAAGTACTACTCAAAGATATTATATTACACATCAATCCTACAATGTAAATGTTTTATAATTTACAGAAAACTCATTGTAAAAATTTTCTGTTTTTCAGATCATCTCAATTTCCAACTGTTGTTTTGAGATACCTCTACGAAAAAGAAGTGTAATGGTGTTAAATTGATAAATGATCATGACTTTTGAAATATTCCGTATCTAAGATTCAATTTAATCGAGCAAGTGAAAGAAGAACATATTAATAAGCTTGAATATTAGTTAACATGCCCATTAAATTAAAACTACAACATCTAATAAACAAAACATGCATTTTTTTTTGTTCTTACCTAATTTATACAACGAAATCTAGTCGAAAAAAAGCATAACATTCTGTTTTTCTTTTTAATCTATAACTACTAACCTTACTAAAAGCATCACGTCCATAATAGGCACGTTTTACATTTTGTCTTGTTTGAAAAACCTCATTCCGAGCAGCGACTACACGTGATGTTAAAGCTGCTAATATATCTGATTGTTCACATTCTAAAAGTTTTGATATCCATTCAAGTTGATCTTTTTCATCCTTTGATCGTTCTATTGAACAATGTTCACCATCAATATCAATAAATGTTAAATTTCCCTTTACACAAAAAAAAATAATAAAAATTCAATTGAAAGATTTTTGTTTATTTACAAGATGAATAATTGCCGCAATTATTTTCCATACTGTTGATATTTCATCTTGTGTAAAACCAACAATATGAAATGCTTTCATAACTTGTTCATAATCTCGTTTATCATCGATTCGATCTACTTTACAACAATTTCCTTGATTAATATAATAATAATCTTTCGGTTGAAGATAAAATCCATAATCTTTTAAAGTCTTTTCATTTGATAATAATTGATAAAATGCATGAAAATTTCTTTCACCTAATTGTTGTTTAACTACACGTGATTTTTCAAGTAAATAATGTTGAATTTTTCCTCCATCAGGATCAAATTTATAATCAAAATTTAAATCCATATATTTACCAAAACGACTACTATTATCATTACGATTTGTTCGACTATTACCAAATGTTTCAAGAATAACATTTGTTTGAATAAGAATATTACTAATTCTAAAAAAAACAGATTTTTTTTATTCGAAAAATAATCTTAACTTTTCTTCTTCATACCGTTGAATTTCAATTTGATTTGTTGTATTAGTTACAGCTGCTATATAACGAAGAATAACTTTTGATGCTTCAGTTTTACCGGAACCAGATTCACCTGATCAATAAAAAGAAATATATTTTACTTTTATTTTCTTTCTCGCAGCGAAGAGTCTAGCAAACATAAATTGTCTGCTTGTCAGTCCGCAGGGTCAAAAAAACATCGAAGGTCAATTTTTCGGAAAAGATATTTCTAGAGGTATTTAGATGCAGGGAGTTCGAATCTGAAGTCTGTTGGGTAGCCATGGTGAGGGAGAGGGATGAAGACGGGTAGAGGTCAAAAGAATATCGAAAACCAGTTTTCTGGAAAAGACATTTCTAGAGGTATTTAGATGCGGGGAGTTCGAATCTGAAGTCTGTTGGGTAGCCATGGTGAGGGAGAGGGATGAAGACGGGTAGAGGTCAAAAGAATATCGAAAACCAGTTTTCTGGAAAAGACATTTCTAGAGATATTCAGGTACGGGGACTTGGAATCTGGGGTCTGTTGGGTGGTTATGATGAGGGAGGGGCTAAGGGTCAAAAAAACATCGAAAACCTATTTTTCACGGTTTTCAATTGTTTTTTTCAGTAAACGTGGGGAGGATGCTTTTCTACGAGAAAGAGCTGAGCTAGTCTCCTGACGAATGTTACTTATTTCTATAAGAAAAAGAATATTTACCAGATATGACAATACAACTATTTAATGAATATTGTTTTAATGTTCGATATGCTGCTTCAGCTAGCGCAAATATATGTGCAGGTCGTTCGAACATTTCACAACCTTTATAACTTTTTATATATTCTTGTCCATATATTGGTAATTCACGATAAGGATTAACGCTTACAAGTACCTAAATATTTTTAATCGATAAAATGATTTATTATGATAAATATTAAATAAACAAACTTCGCCAATATATGTATAAATTCGTCCTTTTTCAAAACTAGAATGAAAATATTTATTTTATTTTAAAGTTAGAAAATTTATATCTGACCGTAATTTAAGATTTTTAATAAATGCATCCATTGTTAATTCAGATAGAAGAACAAAATCACCAACACCAAGATCAGGTCCCTCATATTCGATAGAATCTGTTGCCATCTGAAATCACAAAAAACAAAATTTCGATTTCATGAAAATTATCCATCATACTAAAATTAACAATATATGTATAGATTCCCTTTTAATGTAAAGATGTTTATAAGTCGCAAAAAAATACAAACAAAAAAAAATACATATTTAGCTGGTATATTATAAGTCGTAAGAAAAAAAATTATTCTGATAATGATAGATGAATTTAAGAAATATATATATGTTACAGATGTATATAGAGAGAAAAATATAAGAAATCTGACGCTACACTTTTCTTATTTTATATATATATATTTTTTTTTTATTATTATTAATTATTGAACAAAAGGAAAAAGAAAAACAAGATTGAGTAAATCAAAATCAAGCAGTTGTTGTTCTTGAATTATTAAGAATTTGTTCAATTTTTTCTTGTACCTCACCTAAATAAGGTCGTTGTGATGGTTGAGTATCCCAACATTTTGTCATTATTTCCCAACATTCATCGCTAAAATCCATTAAACGTTCTGGTCGTACACCTTTTTTAACTGCCGACCAAAGAATATCTTTTGATGAACAAACATCAAAATTTGTTGGTAATTTAATACCATTTGAACATATATACCAAAATAAAATACCAAATGCATAAACATCAACTGTATGATCATATTTAGATGTAAATAATTCTGGTGCCATATGAATTGGTGTACCAACTAGAGAACCACTCATCATAACTTCTGGTTTGCAAAATCCAAGATCAGTAATACGAGCATGATTACCTTCATCCAACTAGAACAAACAAAAATAATATTAACAATAGGTTAACCTTAACTTGATCGAAGGAAAAATGTCGAAAAAATTCGCTAAAAAAATACCGCATGATAAAAACGTCGAAAAAACCTTCTCAATTAAAGAAAAAGCATCTTAAGAGTGTGGGTCTGGGTGGGGGTGGGGGTGAGGATGTGGGTGAGAGTGAGGATGTGGGTGTGGGTATGGATGAGGGTGTGGGTGTGGTTACTACATTAGCCCTACTCTGATACCCGCTTCCTTACTCATACCAACACTCGAATATTTCTACTATTCGACATTTTTACTTTCGGCGTTATTATGGGGAATCTAGCAATAGACTATCGATTTTCATTTATTAAAATTAAACGAAACCTGAATAAAACACTGTTTGTATTTATGACTATTTAAGTCGAGGTTATTTCAGAGAAATATCTTACCAAGACATTTTTTAATTTAATATCACGATGAACAAGACCCAGACCATGTAAATATCTTAGACCTTCGACTACATCCAATGCAATTCTCATTCTAAAAATAAATTTGATATTTTAGATAAGAAAAAAGAAATTTAGACTTCGTTATAAATTACCTGATTGAAAATTCCAGTCTATTTTTTAAAGCTGCATATAAATCACGTTTAAGTCTTTCCATAACTAATAAAACTGGTGTTTGATCACGATCAGTATAATCTATAACTGAACCGATTAATTTAACAATTCGTGGATGTTCAGGAATTCGTCTTTAATAGAAAAACAAAAAAAATATTAATTCTATAATATTTTTTTATTACCTTAAATAATGAAATTCTAAAGCAAGATCATTCCAATGTCGATCATCAGGTGGTAGAACAGATTTTAAAACACAGGATTGATGATTAGCCCAACTTTTACATTCATAAACAATTCCATATTGTCCACGTCCAACTTCACGTCCTTGTTTTGGTAAACCATATTGTATAAGATCTTTTAATGATGTACTTTCTAATAATAACCGAGCTATTTTAGGTGTATATTCTTTTCGTACACGTTGTTGTTTATCTTCAGTTGATTTAAGACGATCAGAATGGCGATGTTCAAGTTGTTTAAGTAATGTTTCAAAATTTTCATGTGACATTCGAATACGATCATTCAGTTGTGTACAAACACTTTTAGCTAATCTTTTCACGATAGAAGAAATTAGTGAAAAGAAAAAACCAATAATTTAGCATACTTTGCTTCACTAAGACTATTTAATATATTTAGTGCAACAGAACGTTTAAATTCAGGGTCAATACGTGGACAATTATTCCAACTAAATGTTCGAAAAAGCTATAGAAAAAACAAAGGAAAACAATATTGAAAAAAATCAAATTTTTAATTATACTTCTTTCATTTTATCAATTAAGATTTGGAATATATTTGAATCAGCTGGTAATGAAATATTAACTTCATAAGCAGAGTGTAGAATCTAAACATGTTGTAATTAGAATGATAAAGAAAATATTTTTATTTAGTTTACCTCTTGAAGTGCTTTACTTGTTGATAAATCTGATTCATCATCATCACCTTTGGTTTCTAAACTAAATAGACAACGTGTTAATGTTCCAACATAATTATCATGTAAAATATTGATTGAATCTAATAATTTATTTGCAATTCGTTCATTTAAACGTATAAAAACATGTTCTTGTATAACATTTGTACATTTTTTTAAATCTTTCGCATGTTTTACAGTTAATTGATCGGTTAATTCAACTCCTGAAATTAATGATATGTTTTATAAATTTAAGCTTCTTTTTAAAATTAAATACCTGGAATTTCAAGTGAACAAGCCTCATCGGTTAAAATTTCATGTATTTCATTAACAGCTTGTAAAATTAATTTTTGTATTTCATTTTGTTTTGAATTTGTTAAATCAATCAATGATTCATATAAATTTTTTTCTTTTTCACGTGCATAACTTAATCGTTTAGGTGTAATAAGTATATCTCTAGAAGAGGAAAAAAAAGATTTCAATATCCGGAAAAGAATTCTAATTACCGAGCCATATCAAAAGCACTATCATTAAAAAAATCTAAACATATTTCATGGGATCGTTGTAAAATGCTTACTAAAATTAAAAAAATATATTCAAGAAAAAGAAATTTATTGTTTTGATTTTTATTTACCAGCTCGAATAGTTAAACGATCGACATGTTTACGAATATAAGTAAGAAATTGTGTAAAATTAACTAGACCATTATCAATCATATCACTTTGAAATAGAGGAGTTGTATCTGTTGTATTATCACCAGATTCAGGGCTCAGTATTGAAAGAAAACCGAGATCACATAATTGTCTAAAATGAAATAAATTTCTAATAGTTTTGCTTCGAGTAAATCAAAAATACGATTTTTTTTTCTATACCAATCATATAATTCGAATTCTTATGATGTCAAAACTTCGTTAGTTTGAATTTAATGAAATACATCTGCAATTCAATCATTCTGATATATTGCTGAATTACGCCCAGAGCATATCTATCTCTATCAACACTAGTTTGCTCGTAATAGCTAATGATAATTAGTCAGACTCAATGATCTTCGCTGTATTATGATGAGAATTTGCATTGTCGATAAAAACCTTATATTAATCTAAACATTTTTGCTTATAGAATAATAAATTCTATTCAGGCAAATAATTTGTTGAGCAATAAAATAAACTGACAAAATTGTATAGATATTTACCTGAAGACTTGAACACATGATGTTTCAGTTATATTTGATGAACTATAAAACAAAATATTGAATTTTAACGAATACAAAATTATTCCTTTTACCTATCAGATTGATCAATACGAATAAATAAGATAGGTTCATTAGGTACAGTCGAACGAAAAAATCTTAATTCATCAATATCATTAGCAGTTAAAATATCTTGATCAATAATATAAATAAATATTGGTATAACATTTTCTGTTATTTGTGTATAAATTTGTTTCATATTTAATTTTTGATTACTTGGCGTTATAACTATTTGTAAATCATCATTCAATAAATCTAATGGTTTACGTATTTCAAGTGATGCTGTTTCTTGTTGTTCATTATCATCAGAACCATTATCATTTTCTACTAATGGATGACTATCATTATTACCATTTACGACAAGATGATCGCGAGGTATTGTTGTCCATGATACAGATTTATACATGATATCAGGATTTACAAGTTCAAATGAACCGGATATATTTAAACTAGCACCAAGAACTGGATGATTCTAAATGAAAGATTTCTTTTTTACCAAAAACTATCATTTTTATCAGTTAAAATCAAAAAAAGGTAGAATTAAAACATAAACGAACCTCTACCTTGATTCGAACCATTCGTACAATATCATTTCTATTAATAGTAGGTGACTCAGGTAATAAAGATTCATTTAATAATTCATTAACAAAACGAGATTTTCCATTGTATGTTTGGGAACAAATAATAAGTGCTAATGGACGTGTTTGAAGCAAATCAAAATATTCACAATCAGATTTTGATAATTGCATTTGAGAAATTTTTTCTAAAAGAAAATAAAAATGAATTTTTTAAAAAAATATATTATTTATACCGGACGGAAGAACACGAGTATCATTAATTTCATTATAGGATTTATTTGTTTCACTCAGTATTCGTCGAATATGCTGACAATAATATTTATAACGTCGAATAATGTCTGCAAATTGTTGAGTTAATACCGATGAAGTACTTGATAATGGTGGTGGTGGACTACTACATGGTGAACGTGTTGCTGATAGTCTTTGTTTAATTGGTATTGATCTACGTCTCTCTGTCATTTTTGCTAAATAATTTTTAAAAACATTATCTAAAAGAAAAAAATATTTATCTGTCTGTGTTTTTATGTAAATATAATTTGTTATTTTTTCTAAACTTTCTGGTAATTCTTGTCAAAGATGTATCAACAATTCATTGACTTAGATATTATGATATATACGTTTTTGAAGAGAAAAAAAGTTTCTACTCGTTAAATCTACCTTTTCGTAATTTTATTGTTTAGACAAATAAAAACGTTAAGATTTTTCTTTTTTTTTGCATGCTTGTCATGATCAAAGGTGTAAGATGACGTCATTTTAGTGAAGTTAATATAACTCATAACAAAGAAAATAAAAAAAAACAATGATGGATCATCTAAATGTTTTTTTTTCTTCTTCTTCTTCTTTGTATATTCATACTTAAAAATAAAATCTATTGAGTATTCGTCGAAGATTTCTTTTTTTATTTTAAATCTTCAAATAAAGAAACAGATAGTGTGTTTTTTTTATTGGAGGAATGCTTGAATATTTATTGATGTTCTTTATTTTCTTTTTCAAATAACAAAAAAAAAAGAATAAATAGACAAAACCGTCACCCTTGAAATAACATGAAATTAAAAATGTTTAACTTATATTATTCTTGTTGTCTTTTTTTAGCTGCAACGTACAAATATCTATTTGCGTGGTTGATTAATATATTGTTGAGCTTCATTTCTAGGATTGGCATGAAATTCATGTTTAGGGTGTGTACCAGGTTTATCATGAATATGTTTTACAGCTTCAGCTGGAAAGGCCTTTTGAATCTAAACAAAAAAATTTAAAGAATGTTATATGAAATTCGTAAAAAAATCTAAGATCAATCGTGTAGGTATTCTGACAACGTGCAAATTAATCAATCTTCGTTAAAAATAGAGAAAGACAACTATACTAAAAATTGTAAGTAGGTGAGATTGAATAAACTCGTATATTTAATTACGCTAGAGAAAAGAAAATAATTCATTTTGGTAGTAGAAAATACTTGTAAAACAGCATATTCTTCTTAGATTATCTTGAAACTCTGTATGATATTTAATTAATGAATATTTTACATACTGGTACAAATGTTCCTGAAACCATTTCACCAGCTGCACGGTTAGCAACAGCTCTAAACAATAAACTTTGATTATAATAAAATTTTGAATATGTTATATTCTTACGCGGAAGCTTCTTCATCATCAGCACCTTCACCAGTGGCAGCACCAGCACTTTGTCCTTCATTAGCACCACTTGCAGCTTTATCGCCTGAAGTTTCTTGACCACCTTCTACATTATCACCAGCTTCTTTCTCTTCACCATGTGATGTATGTCTTGGTCGAGGTGCACCAACACGCATACCACCGACTTTAGCTATTTAAATTAAAATTAATAAACTAGTTGAAAATATTTTAATTCATACTAGCTGGAGCATGGCCAGCTTTAAGATCAGATGAGGCAGATGTATCAGTTGATCCTGCTTGGTCTGACATTATAATCTCTTATTCGGAAAAAAAATAGAATTTAAGTAATCTGAAAAATAAAAATTAAATTTTAAGAATATATATATATATAGCCTTATTAAAACTCGTGGTTAGTAAACTACTATAATGACAGTCTTATCTTCCTCCAATATATATATTTTGTTGACTTTCATTCGTGATTATAATACACCAATAGTAACACTTGTTTGTTTCAAGATTAAACTTCCTCCACAAACTGATTTTATATTTTTTTCTAGTGGCCTGATATATCCAATAATATGTATATATATATTTAATAGTCTGCCTATAAAAATAAAGCCATAAAAAAGTTTGAAATATGCACATGTATTAATCAAGGACGAATAAATTCACTTGTGATTAAGTATTTTTCCTTTTCCACTTATACAAACAAATTAATCTTTAAAAAGAACATATATTCATAAGTCTATTGTTTCATCTTTAACAACAGAATAAACAAGAAACTATATATATATATATAATCACACACCCATATGAAAAAAAAGAGAAAGCAAACAGAAAAATTATGGTGTATGTTTAGAAAGTTTTGTTTTTCGTGATGGTGATTTCATTATTTTTGATGGTAATGATTTTGACAATGTTGCTGCATATTCGTCACCACTTGTTAGATCAGTATAATCTTCATCATCATCATTGTCATCGTCTTCGTCTGATGAAGAATCATCAGCATGTAATTCTTTGGTTTGATTAAAGAAATATTCGAATGAGAAATTGTCTTTTTCTTTTATTGCTTCACTTTGTAAACGAACATTTTTTTCATATGCTTGAATTTCATTAAGAAATTCTTGTCCACGTTTTTCAAATCCAAGACCAGTTACATGATTAAATGTTTCTTCAGGTGATAAAACATAATCATTTAATGTTCGTCGACTAAAATATGTTGAAACATTTGTACAATCTCGTAATAAAAATGTATATGCATTTGGATGATGTGGTTCAACTGATTGTGCTACATCTATGACATAGACTATATTATCCAACCATAATAAATTATATTCACTAAAATCAGCATGAATTAATTTACATTCATGATAGATTTGTTTGAGTAACTAAACAAAATAAATTAAATTAAAATAGTAGGATAAATCAAAAAATTTCTTTATGGAGTAGAATCTTACATTTAAACATTGTTTATATGCATTAGCAAGTTCTTCTGGTGTAAGAACTGCATCTCGAAGACGTTCTGCTGGTACTGAATCTTTACCAATAAATGAAAGAAATAAGACATGTTTTTTAAGTAATACAGGAGTTGGACATGGTATTCCAGCACGTTGAAGACGTTGTAAATTAAACATTTCCTATAAAAAACAAAATTCCATTCGTATTTTTGTCAATTAAAATCAATTTCTTTACTTTTTCTGCCCATAATTTAACAATTTTTCTTGGATTAAGACCTTTACAACGATTTTTAAATCGATGATCTTCTCGTAAATATTGGTTTCGTGTATGAAATTCATTTAATGATGTTTTAAAAATCTAATAGAACAGAACAAAAACAAACAATAATTAATAAAAAATTTATTATTTATTTTATATTATACTTTAATTGCAACTTCAGATGGTATTTTATGTAAATCTGTCTGTCCACCTTTACCATATAAAACAATTGATTCTTTTCCTGTTGCAATAATTGAACCAATTTCATCAAGTATACATGAATTTAATGATTTATATAGAATAAGACGTGTTTTAGGATCAAATGCTAAACTCTATTAAATAAAAAAAATTATAAAAATTTGTTTTTTGTAAAATAAACTTACAGCTGTAGCTTTTTCAACTTTATCATGTAAACGATTCATACGTTTTTCTTCAGCATATGAATGTAATTTAAGTTGATTATAAACACGATTTGATAATTTTATATTATTTAAAACATTTCCCGTTTCAAATTCAGGTGGAAATGTATTCATAACACGTGCTACATTACGTTTACCACATAATTCAGCATTATGTTTCGTAACTAATGATGCACCTTTACCACTTGTACCTCGTCGATTAAATGTTGGCATACGTTGATCTTTATGGAGAAAACATAAATATAAGAAAATAATTTTTTTCGAAACTAATAAATATACCTTGTTCACAATCACTGAACGCTTCTTTAGATTCTTCTAAAATGTCCTCGTCATCAATGGTGTCTGACGTTTGAGTAGGATTACTTGCAGGTAATAACATAAAGTTTTTCATTGATACTTTAACTAAATATAGATGTTTTAATTGAAGAAATTTAACGGAAAAAAAAATGTTTTTTTTATATACCTTTACTATTTCGATTAACAGTTGATTCATATTTTTTCATCATTCCATTAAATTCTTTCGTATATTCCTGTTGAAGCATTAAAGCAAGTAGATAGTCATTATCTTCATCTAATTCTAATGATGAAGGATCAATTTGATGAACATCATCATCATCATGTTCAGTTGATACTGAGATTTCTGATTGAATTGGTGTTTTTGGAGAACGACTATAGAATAAATAAAAG